ATTGATGTTGCCATACTAGGTGACAGCCGCATTGAGGAAAAACAACAGGAAAAACTCAGCCGCTATCAAGACCTCAAAATCGAACTGCAAAGGCTCTGGCATAAACCAGTACAGGTGGTCCCAGTGGTCATTGGCGCACTGGGTGCCGTGCCAAAAGATCTCAGCCAGCATTTGGAAACAATAAACATAGACAAAATCACGATCTGTCAACTGCAAAAGGCCACCTTACTTGGATCTGTGCGCATCATTCGAAAATACATCACACAGCCCTCGACGCTGGGGAAGTGTTCAACTTGTGATTTTGTGATACGAAATCCAGCATATAGATCCTGTTTGCTGTGACATACTGTGCTTTTGTGTCAACAACAACAACAACAACAACAATAACTTTGTTTTTGTACCCTGCCTCCATCTCCCCAAAAGGACTTGGGCGGCTTACATGGGGACATGCTTGATATTCAACATAGTTAAATTATAACAACAAAATCAATAAAAACATTTCAACAATATAAAACAACCACAAATGAAATACATAACGGACCTCTACCAACCTTCAGTGGTCTGAGTAGTGGGCAATTCTGAGATCAGGCGGGTGACTGGTGTAAATCCAGTCTAATCTCCCTGAGAAGAGAGTTCCAGAGCTGGGAGCCACCACCTAGAAGGCCCTCTCTCTCGTCCCCACCAACCGCATTTGTGACGAGGGTGGGAACAATAGAAGGGCTTTCCCAGAAGATCTTCGACATTGCATAGGTTCGTTGGGAAAGATGTGGTCATGATGATAAGCTGTGGATACAGAGGGCCAACTGTAACTTTTTACCAAGTGGTCGGTGCTTTTTAGTTTTTACCCATTTTGGGTCCCCAGGTGATTGAATGACAATGACAATAATAATAATAATAATAATAATAATAATAATAATACTTTATTTATATTTTATTTATTTATTTCAAGTGCTTCTACCCCGCCCTTCTTAACCCCCTAGGGGAGACTCAGGGTGGCTTACAAAAGGCACAATTCGATGCCCAACAGTTCACAAAATACAATATACAAAATACAGTATAACAACAACAATTATAACTAGTTAAAACAATCAAATTAATACAATAGCAGCAATAAAATCATCTTGTGGTCAACGTTCGCCAATTCATAAATCCATAATCCATCCAGCATTGTCATTGTCCTTTCCTACTCTGGTCGTCATTGTCTTTTATCCATCTGCCAGCTTACCCAAAGGCCTGGTCCCATATCCAGGTTTTTAACTTCCTTCTGAAAGAGAGGAGGGATGTTGATGACCTAATTTCCCCAGGGAGTGAATTCCACAGGCGAGGGGCCACCACCGAGAAGGCCCTGTCCCTCGTCCCCACCAGTCTCACTTGTGATAAAGGTGGGGCCGAGAGCAGGGCCTCCCCAGAAGATCTTAAACTCCGAGGTGGGACGTAGAAGGAGATACGTTCGGACAGGTATGCTGGGCCGGAGCCCTATAGGATTTTGTAGGTCAAAACCAGCACTTTGAATTGTGCTCGGAACTGGATCGGCAGCCGTTCTATCTCCCTGAGGGGGACTCAGGGCGGTTTCCAAGTAACATCACCAAAACATACAGAGTAAACAGCATGACATAAAATTAACAAAACAACATAAGCATAAAATTATCACAATAACACATATATATTAAAAATAATCGTGCCTGTTCAGAGCAATTAAAAGGCCGGGCCGAGGCTAGTGCAAACTCAAAATAATATGAATTAACTACAGTGCTATAATAGGCTAACAGCAATAGCAGGTATGGGTCTATGGCTGCTCATCTCCCATCACTTTTGAATATCCACCCTGTGGACTGGGGATAAATGAGAATTGCAACCCAACAGCACTTGAGGTTCTGAGATTGAGGAAAGGTTAAAGGGCATTTTAACTTCAGATATCATATCCACAGGCCTTGTACCTAAATTCAACCCCCACTGTCCTGATTAAAGAGAACAAGCTGCAGGATCACAACTTCTATCAGCACTAAATGATGTCAGAGGATGAGTTGTCCTTCCACACAGCTGAATCAAACCCCACATTATCTGCTTTGATATACAGCAGTTCAAAGCAAATATTGTGGGATGTTCTGCCTTGATGTTCTGGGTTATATGGCTGTGTGGAAAGGCCCTGACTCATCTGGAGGCAGACCCAAACGCTGGGGGGTCAGGAAGGGCCCATAGTCAGTCTCTAGGGCAGTGTTTCTCAACCTCCCTAATGCTGTGACCCCTGAATTTCTCCTGTTGTGGTGACTCCCAGCCATAACATTATTTTCCTTGCTACTTCATAACTGTAATTTTGCTACTGTTATGAATTGTCATGTATATCTGATATGCAGGATGGATTGTGGCACACCGGGATTGTGGCGCAGCTGGCTGGGTGTCAGCTGTATTAAGATCACTACTGACTGAAAGGTCATGAGTTCGAAGCCAGCCCGAGCTTCCGGCCAATTTGTGTAGCTTGTTGTTGACCTTTGCAACCCGAAAGACAGTTGCATCTGTCAAGTAAGAAATTTAGGTACCACCTATATGTGGGGAGGCTAATTTAACAAAATTTATGAGGCCATAAAAAAAATCTCCAGCAAAAGCATGTGGGAAATGCGGAAAGTACTTCATCAGTGTCACAGATGGACGGTGAAGCGACAGCTCCCCTGGTGGCCAGAAAATTGGAATGTTAAATAGCCTCTGACTGTCTGTCTATATGTGTTGTGTGTCTATGGCATTGAATGTTTGCCATGTATGTGTACATTGTAATCCGCCCTGAGTCCCCTGCAAATTTGGGATTATATATCTGTGGAATATAGGGTGGGACAAAGAACTCTTGTCTGTTGGAGCGAGGTATGAATGTTTCAACTGACCATCCGTTACCCACCTTCGATGGTGCCGCCCTATCTCCATCGACCACTGTTAAGAGCTTAGGTGTCGTCCTGGATTTGCAGCTGACAATGGAAGCTCAGGTCACTGCTGCCAGCAAACAGGCCTTTTTCCATCTACGACAAGCGAGGCAACTGGCACCCTACCTATCTGACGAGGCTCTGGCAACTGTCATCCATGCCACGGTCACGTCTAGGCTGGACTATTGCAACGCCCTGTATGTTGGCCTTCCGATGTCTACGACCCAAAAGCTTCGTATTGTTCAGAATGCGGCAGCCAGGTTACTCACAAGAACACCCATGAAAGGCCATGTAACACCAGTGCTGCAACATTTACATTGGCTTCCAACTGAGTATCGTGGCCTGTATAAGATGTTAGTTCTGACCTTTAAAATTCTTTACGGCCAGGGTCCATAGTACCTTAGGGACCGCCTTTCCTTCTCCCATCATCGGAATTCGCAACGACCAGCCCAACGCAACTTACTCTATATACCGGGTCCTAGAGAAGTGCACTTGGAAAGGACCAGATGCAGGGCTTTTTGTATTTCTGCCCCTACCTTGTGGAATTCCACCACTTTTTTTTTTTTTTTTTTTTTTTTTTTTTTTTTTTTTTTTTTTTTTTTTTTTTTTTTTTTCTTTTTTTTTCCTGCCTTGTGGAATTCCTTGCCGCCCTACATGAGAGCCATGCGTGACTTAGGGCCTTTTACTCTCGCACTTGGCTTTTTACTAGAGCATTCGATCTCTGTTAATTTTTAAATTTTGTAAGTATGTATTTTATCTTTTACAATTTAGCTGTAAATCACCTAGAGCTTTCTCGGATGGAGGGCAATTAATAAGTAATTAAATATGATGATGATATGATTAGCATTTGATGGCCCGGCAGTGCCTGGGGCAATCTTTTGTTGAGAGGTGATTAGATGTCCTTGTTTGTTTCCTCTCAGTTGTTTTGCTGAAGCTGGGTGTGAATGTTTCAACTGACCACCTTGATTAGCATTTGATTGCCTGGCAGTGCCTGGAGCAATCTTTTGTTGAGAGGTGATTAGATGTCCTTGTTTGTTTCCTCTCTGTTGTTGTGCTGTTCTAATTTTAGAGTTTTTTTAAATACTGGTAGCCAGATTTTGTTCATTTTCATGGTTTCCTCCTTTCTGTTGAAATTGTCCACATGCTTGTGGATTTCAATGGCTTCTCTGTGTAGTCTGACATGGTAGTTGTTGGAGTGGTCCAGCATTTCTGTGTTCTCAAATAATATGCTGTGTCCAGGTTGGTTCATCAGGTGCTCTGCTATGGCTGACTTCTCTGGTTGAAGTAGTCTGCAGTGCCTTTCATGTTCCTTGATGCGTGTTTGGGCAATGCTGCGTTTGGTGGTCCCTATGTAGACTTGTCCACAGCTGCATGGTATACGGTAGACTCCTGCAGAGGTGAGAGGATCCCTCTTGTCCTTTGCTGAACGTAGCATTTGTTGGATTTTCTTGGTGGGTCTGTATGTTGTGTTTCCTCATCAGCTTCCCTATGTGGTCAGTGGTTCCCTTGATGTATGGCAAGAACACTTTTCCTCTGGGTGGATCTTCATCTTGACTCTCCTGGCTTGTTCTTGGTCTTCATTAGTATTTGATGGCCTGGCAGTGCCTGGGGCAATCTTTTGTTGAGAGGTGATTAGATGTCCTTGTTTGTTTCCTCTCTGTTGTTGTGCTGTTATAATTTTAGAGTTTTTCTTAATACTGGTAGCCAGGTTTTGTTCATTTTCATGGTTTCCTCCTTTTTGTTGAAATTGTTCGTATGATTGTGGATTTCAATGGCTTCTCTGTGTAGTCTGACATGGTGGTTGTGAGAGTGGTCCAGCACTTCTGTGTTCTCAAATAATATGCTGTGTCTATAGCAGTGTTCTTCCCCACAGGGCTCCAGGAGCTGAGAGTAAGAGAGGAGGAAGAAGGTGTTTTTTCCCTCCTAACCCGGGAAGCTGCACATTACAAACATTCCCCCCCCCTCCTTGTCACGCGGCTAAAAATGTGCGTTCTGAGGTAACTTCCCGCCCTCCCGTCTGTCTCCCCGCGAGACCGCACTGCCCCTCCTTCCTCATTTCGAGTCTTGGCCCTGCCCCCTCCGCGAGGCGGGGTTTCCGTGGCAACGCGCGCGCGGCCTCCAGAGATTGGCAGCCGGGCGGCGCGGCGGCACTTTCAAGCCTTCTTTTGCTCTGCGGGACCGGAGCGCCATGTCTCTGCGGAGGAGAAGCCGCTTCCCTGCCGGGACCGCCCGGAAACCACCCAAGGCCGGGCGGAGGAAGGCCCCGCCCAGGCAGGAGTGGGATGTAAGCACCGGGGCCTCATTCCCTTAAAGTTGTTTCAGACTGAGGGCGACCAGAAGTCTAAGTTTAGGGCGGGGGACGGGTGAGTGACGTGGGAGGGCCTTGCTTTGAGAGCCCCTGCACTAGAGCTTGAGTAGGCCAAGAGTTTGCATCCCACCTGAAGTTGCTTCCTTTCTGCAGAAGCCTGGGCCTTGGAGTTTAGAACAGGCTTCCTCAAACTGTTCCTCCAAGTTTTTTGGACTGGAGGAGCACAATTTGAGAAACAGTGATTTAGTGGAAGGGCCTTCTAAAATGCTCAGCTAGAGCATTTAATAATATTATGCTACCCCTCTATTCTGCCTTGGTTAGACGACACCTGGAATACTGTGTCCAATTCTGGGCACCACAATTGAAGAGAGATATTGACAAGCTGGAATGTCTCCAGAGGAGGGCGACTAAAACGATCAAGGGTCTGGAGAACAAGCCCTATGAGGAGCGGCTAGGAGCTGGGCATGTTTAGCTGAAGAAGAGAAGGCTGAGAGGAGATATGATAGCCATGTATAAATATGTGAGAGGAAGACACAAGGAGGACTGCTTCCATGGAGATTAGGATAAGGAACAATGGCTTCAAACTACAAGAAAGGAGATTCCATCTGAACATGAGGAAGAACTTCCTGACTGTGAGAGCCATTCAGCAGTGGAGCTCTCTGCCCCGGAGTGTGGTGGAGGCTCCTTCTTTGGAAGCTTTTAAACAGAGGCTGGATGGCCATCTGTCAGGGGTGCTTTGAATGCAATATTCCTGCTTCTTGGCATCACCGCTCAACAAAAGATTGCTCCAGGCACAGACAAGCCACACCAAACAACAGCCAGGCCATCAAATGCTAATCAAGGTGCTCAGCTGAAACATTCACAACTAGCTCCAGCAGACAAGAGTCCTTTGTCCCACCTTGGTCATTCCACAGATATATAAACCCATTTTCCTAGTTCCAACAGACCTCACAACCTCTACATCTCTACACAACATCTACAACCTCTACACAACATCTATGGCAAGGATGTTTGCCATAGATGCAGGTGAAACGTCAGGAGAGAATGCCTCTAGAACAGGGGTCCTCAAACTAAGGCCCGAGGGCCGGATACGGCCCTCCAAGGTCATTTACCGGCCCTCGCTCAGGATCAACCTAAGTCTGAAATGACTTGAAAGCATATAACAACAACAACAATCCTATCTCATCAGCCAAAAGCAGGCCCACACTTCCCATTGAAATACTAATAAGTTTATATTTCTTAACATTGTTCCTCATTTTAATTATTGTATTGTTTTTAAGTGTTTTTACACCACAAATAAGATATGTGCAGCGTGCACAGGAATTGATGTTTTATTTTTCCAATTATAATCCACCCTCCAACAGTTTGAGGGACTGTGACCTGGCCCTCTGCTTAAAAAGTTTGTAGACCCCTGCTCTAGACCATGGCCATATAGCCCGAAAAAACTTACAACAACCCAGTGATTCCGGCCATGAAAGTCTTCGACAATACATTTATAATATTATAATGGAATACAATATAATACTACTAATAATAATATGATATTATAATTATATACTTTATATTTCATGTAATATTACTAATAATATTACAACATAATGATATAGTACAATATAGTAATATATAATACTGATATTGTACTATGCTAATAATATAATATATTGTATGTATATACATGAAATTGTTGGCTCATGGACAACAAGTTAAACATGAACCAACAATGTGATGTGGTGGCAAAAAAAGTCAATGGTATTTTGGGCTGCATCAATGGGAGCCTAGTGTCTAGATCTAGGGAAGTAATGCTACCCCTCTATTCTGCCTTGGTTAGACGACACCTGGAATACTGTGTCCAATTCTGGGCACCACAATTGAAGAGAGATATTGACAAGCTGGAATGTCTCCAGAGGAGGGCGACTAAAACGATCAAGGGTCTGGAGAACAAGCCCTATGAGGAGCGGCTTAAGGAGCTGGGCATGTTTAGCCTGAAGAAGAGAAGGCTGAGAGGAGATATGATAGCCATGTATAAATATGTGAGAGGAAGCCACAGGAGGAGGGAGCAAGCTTGTTTTCTGCTTCCCTGGAGACTAGGACGTGGAACAATGGCTTCAAACTACAAGAAAGGAGATTCCATCTGAACATGAGGAAGAACTTCCTGACTGTGAGAGCTGTTCAGCGGTGGAACTCTCTGCCCCGGAGTGTGGTGGAGGCTCCTTCTTTGGAAGCTTTTAAACAGAGGCTGGATGGCCATCTGTCAGGGGTGCTTTGAATGCAATATTCCTGCTTCTTGGCAGGGGGTTGGACTGGATGGCCCATTAGGTCTCCTCCAACTGTATGATTCAATGAAACTATTAAAAATAAACAGTTGAAACCATTACAATAATTAAAACCCCATTAACATACCGAAAACACTATATAACTTCCTTGGCCTTGTCTTAAGAATGTTTCCCTTTCAAAGCCTGTCTGAATAGGATGATTTTAGCAGAGGACAGGGGATATCACTTACCGGATCTGTCCTGATCTTGACAGTGGGAGCAGTTCGGGAAGGGAAGGGGAAAGGTGACACCTCCTTTTCCCTCTCCCATATTGCATGGTGCTAGGTCAGCATCACTACATGTGATGAGCAACAACCACCAGCAGTTGATTACTTAATAAGTCCCACTATTATCATATAACAGTAGTTGCACACTTTGTCAATGGAATAGTGAGTGCAGACTGGTGTGATAACGATCAAACTTGGAGCCAGGATTTCTGCGTAAAACATAAATTGTGGAGCTATCTGCAAAGTGCAGGTACATTTTTAAAGATGTTGATATTGTTGCAGCAAATAGGAGAGATAATATCAAGAGAGATCCTTTCTGGAGAAAGAAAAGTACAGCTTTATTTCCAGTTGGGACCCTGGAGTGGAGCTGTGTCCAAAAGCAAACAGAGTGCAAGCATCCTCAGCAAGCATCACCGCTCAACAAAAGATTGCTCAAGCACAGACAAGCCACACCAAACAACAGCCAGGCCATCAAATGCTAATCAAGGTGGTCAGTTGAAACATTCACACCTAGCTCCAGCAGACAAGAGTCCTTTGTCCCACCTTGGTCATTCCACAGATATATAAACCCATTTTCCTAGTTCCAACAGACCTCACAACCTCTACATCTCTACACAACATCTACAACCTCTACACAACATCTATGGCAAGGATGTTTGCCATAGATGCAGGTGAAACGTCAGGAGAGAATGCCTCTAGAACATGGCCATATAGCCCGAAAAAACCTACAACCCAGTGATTCCGGCCATGAAAGCCTTCGACAATACATTTATAATATTATAATGTAATACAATATAGTACTACTAATAATAATATGATATTATAATTATATACTTTATGGGTTGTTGTACGTTTTTTCGGGCTGTATGGCCATGGTCTAGAGCAGGGGTCCTCAAACTAAGGCCCGGGGGCCGGATATGGCCCTGCATGGTCATTTACCCGGCCCTCACTCAGGGTCAACATAAGTCTGAAAAGACTTGAAAGCACACAACAACAACAATCCTATCTCATCAGCCAAAAACAGGTCCACATTTCCCATTGAAATACTAATAAGTTTAAATTTGTTAAAATTGTTCATTTTAATTATTGTATTGTTTTAAAGTGTTTTTGCACTACAAATAAGATATGTGCAGCGTGCACAGGAATTGATGTTTTATTTTTCCAATTATAATCCACCCTCCAACAGTTTGAGGGACTGTGACCTGGCCCTCTATTTAAAATGTTTGAGGACCCCTGGTCTAGAGGCATTCTCTCCTGACGTTTTGCCTGCATCTATGGCAAGCATCCTCAGAGGTAGTGAGGTCTGTTGGAACTAGGAAAAAGGGTTTATATATCTGTGGAATGACCAGGGTGGGACAAAGGACTCTTGTCTGCTAGAGCTAGGTGTGCATGTTTCAACTGACCACCTTGATTAGCATACAATGGGCTGACTGTGCCTGGAGGAAACTTTTGTTATATTATATATTTCATGTAATATTACTAATAATATTACAATAAAATGATGATAGTACAATATAGTAATATATAATACTGATATTGTACTATGCTAATAATATGATATATTGTATGTATATACATGACATTGTTGGCTCATGGACAACAAGTTAAACATGAGCCAAAAATGTGATGTGGAGACAAAAAAAAGTAAATGGGATTTTGGGCTGCATCAGTGGGAGCCTAGTGTCTAGATCTAGGGAAGTCATGCTACCCATGCTCTATTTTGCCTTGGTTAGACCACACCTGGAATATTGTGTCCAGTTCTGGGCACCACAATTGAAGAGAGATATTGACAAGCTGGAATGTGTCCAGCGTCACTTTAGCATCATAGAAATATCAAATTCTATCTTCCAACATGCAAAAGGCATGTCTCTATATTTTTTTCTGAGAGTAGCATACAGCTTACAGCTTACATTCATCAATCAAGGGGCCTACTTTGACCTGTCAGGAGGGAGGGCGATAGGCTCCTTACTGGGCTATGTTGTACCAGTCCCTGGAATGTATAGATAACAGGTCCCCCTTCTCTTCCCACTTTCGACATTCCTTCTCTGTCCTGCTGGCTTTCTTACACAGAGAGAACCTGATTTTTCTATACATTTCAGTTCTGGCAAAGTACATACAATATATGCATAAATAAATATCTATTTTTCCAATATCTCCCCATTAATATGGGGGGAAATGTCTTTGTATTAGAATCAAAGAACTATGGTTGATTAAAAAAGATGTTTGTTGGAATCAGTTTCACTTTCTGTTCTTACACTTGATGTGTTTTATTGCAGAGCACAATCCATGATCTCACTGTACATCGGGCAACTCCTGAGGACCTTGTAAGATGGCAGTTTATCTTTGATGTACTATACTGAGGCAATTTGTAGTACCAAATTAATCTGAACAAGTGTTACAGGAATTTAAAAAAACTTGCTGAGAATATGCATTCTTTTAATATAAAATGCAATTTTCCGTCCCTCTACCAATATGACTTGATACATTTTGATAGTTTTGACCTGTGCATAATATTCTACTCCTAGCCAACAGTGCGCTGCCACCTATAACTCATTTTTCAATTTTTTGGCAACAAACTCCACATTTGGTAACAAATTCCACATCTGGAGTTTTGGAGTTCAGTGTCATCTGTACGCAGATGATGACCAAATTTATCACTCCTTTTCACCTACTGCTAAGGAGGCTGTCCAGATCCTGAACCAGTGTTTGGCTGCTGTGATTGTCTGGATGAGGGTGAACAAATCGAAATTGAATTCAGACACGACGAGGCACTCCTGGTCAGTCGTAAGGCCGAACAGGGTATAGGGTTACAGCTTGTGTTGGACAGGGTTACACTCTCTCTGAAGACACAAGTTCGCAGCTTGGGAGTGATCCTAGACTTATCGCTGAGCCTGGAACCTCGGGTTTCAGCAGTGGCCAGGAGAGCTTTCGCACAATTAAAACTTGTTCGCCAGTTGCACCCGCACCTTGGGAAGTCAGACTTGGCCATGGTAGTCCATTCTCTTGTTACATGAATAATGTAGCTTGAATAATGGACCATGGATTTTGGAAAATGATTTGGATTTGGCATTTTATCTGTTTGATAGATTGGTATGACTTTTAATTTTTTATGTTCTTAGATTGTTTCTATTTCTTATGAGATGTGTTTTATTATTGCCTGTGCGGCAGTGAATTTTTGCCAGATTTGTAAGCCGCCTTGAGTCCTCTCCCGGGTCAAGAAAGGCAGGGTAGAAATGAAGTAAATAATGCATAAATTTATATTCTGTTCAGTTCTGGATCTGCTCCAGTCATATATAATATAGACGGTGGGGTCCAGCTTTTAAGCTAAATGAATATGTGAGTGGAGGAAACTGTATTTCTACCACTTACATTGGAATTTGGCTGATGAAAAGTATCAGGGGAAGGACAGATTGATGAAGTAAACAGCAAGTATATAAAATTAGCACCCACAGCCATATGGTCACCACCCCCAACACATTTCAATCCATCATTTATATTGTCAGAGTTGGTAGCAAAGCATGCATGTTACAATACTGATGCAATTCGTTCTGGGAATCAGTCAAAGCAAATCCTTGCTTATGGTTCCTTTTAAGAGGGCTGCTTGATCAAGTGCAGGCTTGATCTAGACTGTGGGTATGCTATGTATTTCATAAGCCAGTCCTGGCTGTCCTGGCCAGAGCGAAGACAGAAGGGAGCAGAAGACACTTCCATCTTGTCTTTGCTAATAATATAATATAGTATATTGTATATACATATAATATTTATAATATTATAATGTAATACAATATAATACTAGTAATAATAATTCAATATTATAATTATAATTATATATTTACATTACATGTAATATTACTAATAATATTACAATATAATGGTATAGCGCAATATGGTAATATATACTGATATTGTACTATGCTAATATAATATATTGTATGAAAATATATATTGTAAGCTGCTCTGAGTCCCCTTCGGGGTGAGAAGAGCGGCATATAAATGCCGTAAATAATTAATTAATTAAATAAATAAATATGGCAAACATTCAATGCTGGGACAAGAATTCATATGAATATGCATAAACATTAAAAACATTTATCAAAATATTAAAATACACTGTTTAAAACCGTCTTGGCCATCTGGTTGGCAAGCCTGAATAGAATTTTTGCCTGGGCAAATTCCACAAGGCTAGTGACCCTTATGGCTGGTCGTATTGTAATATGTGGCATATGACATTTATACTGGCAGGAACACATCCAGATATTTTGTGTTAGGTCATTACATTGATTCATCCATTAAACTCTAAGGGAAAATATTTCCTTTTTTTGTCCAGGCAGTAAGACATGAGATGCACAAGTCAAAGAACAAAGCCCTTGTCCACTTAGAACTGCAAGAAAAATCTTCAGAGAGCACACGGAACAAGCTTCGGCCAAGAGCTCCACAATCTGTAGAGAAAAAGAAGCTGGCTTTGATGAGAGCAGTAAGAAACAGTTTCTCCATATTATAGTTGACAAATATTTGTGATATGTTTTGTTTTATTGTATGTATGTCTTTTTTCCTACCAGCATTTCTCCAAAAAATGTGACTTATGCCATGGTCTTGATGGTATCACTCTCTCTAGGCCAATGATAGAATATCGTGAATAGTGCTTATCAATCATGTGTGGATGAAGTATGCTCCTCCAGATGTTATTAGCATACAACGCCTAACCTTTCTGCCATTAGCTATGCTTGCTAGGTCTGATGAGAACTACACCTCAGTGGCTTCCAGAGCAGGAGTGGGCAAAGCGCAGCCCCTAATATTGAGGGGGGGAGTAAAGGTTTTTTGCCCCCAAATATCCTCTAGGATCTGTTGGGGTATTTCCACCACATTGTTGTTCCCCCACCCCCCTGAAACAATTTAGGCTCAAGAAAGGTATTTCTAATCCCCCCCCCCTGAAATAATGTATACACACTTTCCATTAAAAAAGTTGAAAGGCATTTGGAGCCAAAATGTGTGTGTGTGTTTGGGGTGTGTGTGTGGCCTTCCAAGTTCTCCTGGAGGGACAGTGCAGCCCCCACTCTCGCAGCTGCCTACCCTATACTAAAAGGTGGAAGAAGCTATGCTTCCACAGTTCCTCTTTGCGATTTCCCTGTGCAAAGCTCCCTGGAGAGCTGCAATTTTTCTCTGCTGTAAAACATAAACTTGTGTAGGCATGTGTGATGCTTCAGCCATGTATAACATCTCGCATAAGTGACTAACTGCAAAGAGGTTTCCAATGTTTATTTTCATGCTTGCTGTGAAGGAGGAGAGCAAGTGAGGCAATATTCCATCAGCCTAGTAGATATCTGTGCAAATGATCTAGTGGAAGGACACCCAAATAATCAGTACCTCCATTGCCAGATTATGCACATGCCTTCTCCTTGTTACCTATGTGGCACAGATGGCATTATTGCTTAGACCAGGATGGGCAACATATCAGGTATCTGTGAGCCCACAACCGTCTGATGACTAAAAATAAATAATTGCAAAAGTCTGATTTTTTTTTTGTCCCCAAATATCTAGGACATTGGTTCCCACTTATGTCCTGTTATAAAAAGATTTTTCCTTGGGGCTTAATTTTTTCCCTTTCCCCCAAATGGGCAAAATTTCTGCTTGGGAACCAAAACATAATTTCTTTTTTGGTGGGGTATGTGTTTGTGTGGCAGAGGAGTGTGGCCATCAGGAAGGTTGATTCAACCCATTCACCTCTTATCAGGTTCCACCCCACCTTCAACCTGTAGAGCAGGGATCCTCAAACTAAGGTCCGAGGACCGGATACGGCCCTTCAAAGTCATTTTCCCGGCCCTCGCTCAGGGTCAGCCTAAGTCTGAAACTACTCGAAAGCACATAGCAACGACAATCCTATCTCGTCAGCCAAAAGCAGGCCCACTCTTCCCATTAAAATACAAATAAGTTTATATTTATTAAAATGGTTATTCATTTTAATTATTGTATTGTTTTAAGTGTTTTTGCACCACAAATAACATAATAGGAATAAAATGGTAGAAAAGGAGTGTTTTGCTGATGCTTTCAAGTTGTCTTTGCCACCAGTAGTGATGGTAGGAAAAGAAACTTTTACAGATGTGTGAAGGAGTCAGTATCTGTATCTATATTGATTATAGAAGAACATGCTTCTGTTTTTTTTACTGTTTTTTACTGAGAGCATAAAGCCTGCAATATGTTTGGTTTCTTTAGATTATCTCTGATCAGTACCAGTTTCATGATGTCTTGGAGGGATCTGATCAAGCCATGGCTGTGGTGAAAGACCTGTTTGGAGATGCTCCTCACTGGCATTTAGGTGAATTTTTACCAGGTAATGATCATAGAATCATAGAGTTGGAAGAGACCTCATGGGCCATCCAGTCCAACCCCCTGCCAAGAAGCAGGAATATTGCATTCAAAGCACCCCTGACAGATGGCCATCTAGCCTCTGTTTAAAAGCCTCCAAAGAAGGAGCCTCCACCACACTCCGGGGCAGAGAGTTCCACTGCTGAACGGCTCTCACAGTCAGGAAGATCTTTTTCCCACATACTGCTCTCGAGCCAGGCATCGTCCCCCATTCTGTATCTTTGCATTTCGTTTTTCCTGCCAAAGTGGAGTATCTTGCATTTGTCCCTGTTTAACTTCATTTTGTTAGTTTTGGCCCATCTCTAATATGTCAAGATCGTTTTGAATCCTGCTCCTGTCTCCTGGAGTATTGGCTATCCCTCTCAATTTGGTGTTGTCTGCAAACTTGATGATCATGCCTTCTAACCCTTCATCTAAGTCATTAATAAAGATGTTGAAACCCCATTTGAGATCACGTCCCAGAGTCCCCAAGCCACAAAAACAGTAGCGGATGTTATTCCTATTCTGTTATATCAGCATAACAGAAAAGCAGCTCTTTGCTGTCTGATATTCAACACAGGAGCAGCCTATTGCATTGAAAGAAGCAATATCATTGTGGCACCTCAAAGACTAACAATAAAGTCTTGCCCTCTAAACACAAACAGCACTTATCAAGGAGAGCTGTGGAGAGAAGAGAAAGAAAAGCACATCAGACAGATAGAGATAACACAAAGGCAAGATGATGTTATATGTATACACGAGAGAAGTAGAGATACAGATAGGTAAAATCTTCACATAATCACAGCTGGAAGGGGCTCCATGACAAGCAGGAATAAACAACTCTTCCTAAAGATGGCAACCTAACCTGACTTCCACAGGGAAATGCATCACCCTTTTAAGCAGTCTATTTCACTGCTGAACAACCTGTTGCCTAGCATTCTGTTTCTTGGAAGCCTGGAAGCAGGATACAAAGGCAGCGACAGCATAATGACCCTGAACCTGTATATTAAATACAGCCACCATGCTAGCGGTAACCACTAGCAGATAATTTCCATGTATTTATCTTTGCTCCTTTTAAAATACTATCTTGCGGCAGCAAGTTGTATAGATTAACAATACCAGATGTTCAGAAATACTGTATTTTGTCTATTCTGAATATCTCTTCATTAAATTTTAGATGGACTTGTGCTGCAAATTAATGAAAAAAATTTTTGTTTATTTTCTCTATCATTTTATAAGCCCTGTTGGCATCTTCCACTGTCATCTTTTTCATAATACTACAGCTTTTCTTCATAGAGGTAGTGTACTTCATAATTTGCTCACTGAATTGTGCATGCAGAAGGAAGGATTTGGTTCATTAGAACGTCTAAACCAGAGATTTCTACTACAATCTTAGGACCACAGTTATATCATCTGATTGCTTTGAAAGCTTTCCCCCATTATCATATTAAGAGACACAAACCTAGTGTTTCTAGCATAACTTCTGTGTTCCAATTTCTAAATAAAATCAACAGTATGAGTTCTAATTCTTTGTATTTTGTTTTTTTTCTGCCTAAGTGGAGTATCTTGCATTTGTCCCTGTTGAACTAAGAAAATGAAGTTCAACAGGGACAAATGCAAGATACTCCACTTAGGCAGAAAAAACGAAATGCAAAGATACAGAATGCAGGACAATGCCTAGCTCGAGAGCAGTACATGTGAAAAAGATCTTGGAGTCCTTGTGGACAATAAGTTAAACATGAGCCAACAATGTCATGTGGCGGCAAAAAAAAAAAGCCAATGGGATTTTGGCCTGCATCAATAGGAGCATAGTGTCTAGATCCAGAGAAGTCATGCTACCCATGCTCTATTCTGCCTTGATTAGACCACACGTGGAATATTGTGTCCAATTCTGGGCACTACAATTCAAGAGAGATATTGACAAGCTGGAATGTGTCCAGAGGAGGGCGACTAAAATGATCAAGGGTCTGGAGAACAAGCCCTATGAGGAGCGGCTTAAGGAGCTGGGCATGTTTAGCCTGAAGAAGAGAAGGCTGATATATGATAGCCATGTATAAATATGTGAGAGGAAGCCACAGGGAGGAGGGAGCAAGCTTGTTTTCTGCTTCCCTGGAGACTAGGATGCAAAACAATGGCTTCAAACTACAAGAAAAGAGATTCCATCTGAACATGAGGAAGAACTTCCTGACTGTGAGAGCCGTTCAGCAGTGGAACTCTCTGCCCCGGAGTGTGGTGGAGGCTCCTTCTTTGGAAGCTTTTAAACAGAGGCTGGATGGCCATCTGTCAGGGTGCTTTGAATGCAATATTCCTGCTTCTTGGAGGGGGTTGGACTGGATGGCCCATGAGGTCTCTTCCAACTCTATGATTCTATGATTCCATAACTGTACGTTGGGGTTGCCTTTCTTTCTCTCTGTGTCAGGTGCATCTCTGCTTTCTCTTCTTTATCTCCCCTCCCCCTTGTCTCTTTCTGCCATTTTTTCTCTCTCTTCTCTCTACCAGTCTCTCTCTCATTTTCACATCCCTCTCCCCCCCCCCCCCCCCATCCATGCTATACTTGGGGTTTCTATACTCAGGTAAAAAAAGAGGTCACCAGTTGAAAAAGCTTAAGCTCTGGCTTACAAGATTTGAAAGGTTCTTTCTTTTGCTTGTTATTATTCAGCTTTGTGGTCTTCTGTAATCCTCCCTTAGGTTTTCCCAATGTGACGGTAGCTCCTGATCACGATGTAGAATCCTCAGAAGGTCCCATCATACAAAAGTGTGATCTTCCCACACAGCTCTCCATCCTTAGTGAGTCTGTCATGGATCCCCAGGTAATACGTTTTCTGTACTAAGTATTCACTAAAATAGAAGTGTGTGTTCTTCGGTGTGTGTTCTTCGATGATGTTATGGCATGACAGTAATACTAGGGAAGTGTGGCTGAAATGGCAGCACAGTTGAAAGAGGATGTGTGCAGACAAAGGCTAGATCTATAGGTAAAGGTAAAGGTAGTCCCCTGACATTAAGTCCAGTCATGTCTGACTCTGGGGTGTGGTGCTCATCTCCATTTCTAAGCCGAAGAGCCAGCGTTGTCCGTAGACACCTCCAAGGTCATGTGGCCGGCATGACTGCATGGATCGCCGTTACCTTCCCGCCGGAGCGGTACCTATTGATCTACTCACATTTGCATGTTTTCGAACTGCTAGGTTGGCAGAAGCTAGGGCTGACAGCGGAAGCTCACGCCGCTCCCCGGAATCGAACCTGCGACCTTTCGATCAACAAGCTCAGCAGCTCAGTGCTTTAACCCACTGCGCCACCGGGGGCTAGATCTATACTACTCTATAATTCTGACTTCATCATTGACAGATCAAAAAGTACAACTGGGACTGTCAAATACTTTCAGATAATAGATGGGATACCCAAGTAGCTAATTGTTTTAATTTCTGTTTTTATGATGTACAATGTAAATATCTACTCTTATCTAAAATTAAGGTTCTTGATGTAATTATTTAGCCCCAGTGCATGTTGAAATTGCATTCCAGTTTAATATAATGAACTAGCCCCCTGCTACGCGTTGCTGTCGCCCAGTCTGGTGATCTGGAAAATAAAGTAATGGTTTCTAATAGATGTAATTCCTTTATGCTTGTGGGCAAACAGTATTCCTTGTTGTTTCTATGTCAGTGTTGATGTGGAGATTATCTGGTTTGCCTACTGTGGAACATGCAACATATTGTCCTTTAGGGGTCCCTTTCAAATCTATGATAATATGTGTGTGTGAATCATATCTATTTATATCTATCTATCTATGTCTGGATCGCTCTTTGTCAGGAGGACTTTGATTACGTTTTCTTGCCCTGATGAAGGGAGTTGGATTGGATGGCCTTAAGTATTTTCTGTTGGTCATGGGGGTTCTGTGTGGGAAGTTTGCCCCGATTCTGTCGTTCGTGGGGTTCAGAATGCTCTTTGATTGTAAGTGAACTGTGAAGCCCAGTGACTACAACTCCCAAATGTCAAGGTCTATTTTCCCCAAACTCCATCTGTGTTCATATTTGGGCGTATTGAGTGCTTGTGCCAAGTTTGGTCCAGATCCATCATTGTTTGAGTCCATAGTGCTCTCTGGATGTAGGTGAACTACAACTCCCAAACTTAAGGTCAATGCCCACCAAACCCTTCTAGTATTTTCTGTTGGTCATGGGAGTTCTGTGTACCAAGTTTGGTTCAATTCCATCACTGATGGAGTTCAGAGTGCTTTTTGATTGTAGATGAACTATAAATCCCAGCAACTACAACTCCCAAATGACAAAATCATAATTTTTTGAGTGATGGTTGCTCCTTGTGTTGTGAGACTTTTTGTTGCCAAATTTGGTGTGATTTCATTCATTGGTTCTTTTGTTTTTAAGGTACTCATTATGCACAGAGCATTTATATATATATATATAGATTGGCTCAGTATTGGTTTCAAAAAAGCTATGACAATGTCTTGTTGACTTCTGTAACTAAATCATTAAAGTTTCTGTCTTAATAATATACATCTTTTTCCTTGGATCTGCTACAAAATGTATTCTAGAGAGAGATCCTAAAATGGACAGCTCTTTCCTGGTTTTTGGCAGATACAATGGGGAATTAAGATGTTTTTCTATTTCTTGGGTTCGAATTCCCAAGGAAAGATAAATAGGTGTGTTAGATTCCTGGTTGTGAACAGAGAGGAAAAGAATCTGCACCTACTGCTTCACCTCCCCATCCTGTCCCCTGCTTTGGTGAATTTAGACCATTTTGAGGCTGATCTGGATGAAATTACTCCCACAGTACCACAGGAAATAATTTTTGTTGTAAAGTTGTTATTTTGTTAGGCCACAGAGCAAATAAATGTTTTAAAAAGCTCTGGCACTCAGGAGGACTTTCTCTTTTCAGTATTGGACAATTGGGAATTGTTCCCCTGTTGCTCAATGGCCAGAAGTAGGAAACAGTGTTTTCCTTAGCTGCGCTCGCACCATATGTGTTCCCTAGTTGTCAGTTCAGGGCATTTTTCTTGCCTACAAAGCCCTGAACGGTTTGGGACCTGCCTACCTGCGTGACCGCATTTCTGTATACGAACCCACACGATCTCTTCGATCATCTGGAGAGGCCCTACACGTGCTCCCACCTGCATCACAAGCACGATTGGTGGGGACGAGAGATAGGGCCTTCTCGGTGGTGGCCCCTTGACTCTGGAACTCACTCCCTAAGGACATCAGGCATGCCCCATCTTTGGCAGTCTTCAGGAGGAGCTTGAAAACATGGTTGTTCCAATGTGCCTTCCCAGAATAATGAACCCTTAGCACTATGTCCCCCAAAAGCACTTTATATTGATTTAGGACTGCTTGTATTTCTCCATCAACGCCCCATCTCCTGCATCTTGTCCATGCCTAGCATTATATTTTAAACTTCAATTACATTTGGCCCAGCCATAGTTTTAAATGTGCACTGTATCTTGTTTAATGTTTATGAGTACCACAGCCTCAGTTTTAAATGCGTCGTGGTGTTATTGTCTAATGATTTTTGCTATTGTTTTAATGTTATTGTTTTGCTTTATGAGTTTATTGTTGTATTAGTTATACTGTTGTTTTATTGATGTGTTGGCCTTGGCCTCTTGTAAGCCGCACCGAGTCCTTCGGGAGATGTTAGCGGGGTATAAATAAAGTTAATAATAATAATAATAATAATAATAATAATAATAATAATTTGTGTATGTGATTTATTTTTAACTGCTTTGTATTGTACCTGTTATTGCTTGTATTGCTTGTATTGTTTGTATTGCGGACTCAGCCTCATGTAAGCCGCACCGAGTCCCTTGGGGAGATGGTAGCAGGGTATAAATAAAATTATTATTATTATTATTATTATTATTATTATTATTATTATTGAAGGAGCTGGGGGTGGTGACGGCCGACAGGGAGCTCTGGCGTGGGCTGGTCTATGAGGACACGAAGAGTCGGAGACGACTGAACGAAAGAACAACAATTATTATTATTATTCTTAATTTTTCAACCTGGATAGCATAAAATTATGTTAGTTGACTTCTTACAGTGTCTGAGATATTCTCTCCTTCTCCCTCCTGAAAGGCTCTCAATGAAAAAGAAGAATGTTCTTTTGTGTGCAACACAAATAGTGAGGGCGATGTGTATTTGAACACAAGATCCAATATTGACACAAAAAGGTTAGTCTCTCTCTTATCTATCTCCACATGTCTCTTATACCTTGTTTAAGTGTAAATAGTTTGAGATAGCACATAATCTGGTAATCCCTTTTATTGTTATCCGTTTATCTGTCAGAGTGGGCAATATTGAACCACTAGGATAATTTTTTGGCCCTCTGATCCCTCCAGGGATTGTGTGTTTGTGTGAGTGTGTCTATTTGCAACAATATGTTTTGGTCTCATAGATTTCTAGGGGATATGGGGGTTGTACTAGATGGCTTTATGGTCTCTTTCAACTCTGATTCTCTCTCTCTTTTTTGAGTATTTTTTATTGAGGATTTTTGGGTAGGGAATACATTGAGAGAGTGTCAATCATCGACATATCTTATATTTAAAATAAGTCAACATGGATGGGTTGAATAGGGTTGGTGGGGAAGGGGAAGGAGAGAAAAAAGGGGAAAAAAAACAAAAAGAGGGGGGGGGAGTGGATAGTGAAGGATAAGTTGGGAAATGAATGTGTAGGGATTGAAAGGTGGGGTTGGGGAGAGTTAGTAATTACAGTTACTGATTATACCCCATACAGCATTACGAATGTTAGTATTATCTTCTCATCACATCTTTCACATATCTAGGTCTGATTGATATTAAAATATTTTTTGACTGGGGACTAATCCATCTTGGCTGCTCCAGCCATCTGTTTAGTTTTCATATACTGCGTTAATGTGTCCATGTTCATTATGTCTAAAAGTTTAAACATCCATTCTTCCACTGTAGGTATCTCTTTGTTCTTCCATTTTCTTGCCAATACAATTCTCGCGGCCATCGCCATGTGGAAGAAAAGTTTATCTTTATTCTTTCCTAATTCAAAGTCTAGTATCCCCAATAAATAGAATTCAGCTTTCATCTCTTTTCTGATGTCCAATGTCTTGTTTGTAATTTCATGTATTTCTTTCCATTTTTTTTAACTTTCTCACATGTCCACCATAAGTGAAAAAAAGGACCCTTCTTGTCTTGGCATTTCCAGCAGATATCGGAAACGTTTTTATAACATTTTGCCAATTTACTAGGTGTGATGTACCACTGTTACATCATTTTTATCCAGTTTTCTTTCACATCGTAGGAGTTTGTCCATTTCAATTTGGTCTTCCAGATCTTTTCCCATTCTGTAATCCTGATTGTGTGTTCCAGGTTCGCTGTCCATTTCGATATACAGTTTTTTATTCAATTTTTCTTTGTCGTCCAATTTAGTAAAATTTTATATAATTTGGTGATTCCTTTTTTTTCTGAAGTCATATTTTTCCAACTCTCTGATTCTCTTATTCTAATTCAAAACATTACACAAACTTAATAATCGTCCATTTGATCCAAACACAGTTATATTTAGACCGTGCAGTCATGGCGGACACGTTGTTGTTGTTATATGCAAAATGCATTGCTGTAATTACAGTAGTCCAAACAAGACATTGACAGAATGTGGCTCTATGTCATGGAGCCTCTCTGTCTGACTTTACCATGGGGCTTCAGTAACAGAGCTGAATTAGGTAATATTTTGAGGAGAGATATCTAAATAAGCTGGGCATCTTTATTTTTAGGGCACTTAACCTTCTGAAAGAAGATGACTCTGAAGCCAATTGCCAGGAAGAGACTTCTAAGCAACATATTTCTACTGTCTCAACAGAGGAAGCAGATATACTTTTGACTCCAGCAGCAAGTTTTCAGTCACTGGAACATACAGGTTCACTTTACTCTCTTTGAAAAAAGCAAAAGAAAGCAGTATGTGAAAGATTTATTTGGTGTGTTACAAAAGTTTTAAAAAATTATATAAACACTAGAACATTTATCTGGCATTGCCTGGGTTAGGGATTTTGTAGTGCTATTTATTAAAAATAGTGATTGTTTGCTTTTCGATTGTGTGAATGCTCCATTCAAAAATGCATACCTGTGTAATATATAGATGCTTTTGAACTGTGGTGTTGGAGGAAAGTTCTGAGAATGCTTTGGACTGACAGAAGATCCAACCAGTCCATACTTCAGGCAATAAAGCTCAACTGCTCATTGGAGGGAAGGATATTAGAGGCAAAGATGGAGTACTTTGGCCACATCATGAGGAGACAGGAAAGCTTAGAGAAGACAATGATGCTGGGGAAAGTGGAAGGAAAAAGGAAGAGGGGCCGACCAAGGGCAAGATGGATGGATGGCATCCTTGAAGTGGCTGGCTTGACCTTGAAGGAGCTGGGGGTGGTGACGGCCGACAGGGAGCTCTGGTGTGGTCTGGTCCATGAGGTCACGAAGAGTTGGAAATGACTGAACAAATGAACAAGACAAGTAATAGGACATTCAGTAAAAAATTACAGCCAATGGTCTTCAAATCCCATCAGCTCAGACCTAGTTGGGTTGCAATTCACATCAGCCCCAGATCTTGCAGACTGTAATTCCTCTCAGCCTCACATCTGGTTTGCTGTAAATCCTATCAGCCCCAGATCTGAGTGGCTCAACCTGGCTGACAGCAATTTCCAATAGCCCTACATCTGTCTGGGTTTCAACTCCTGTCAGATCCAGATCTGGCTGGGCTGCAAGTTAAAGCTCTCCTAACCAGTTGGCTCAGCCTTCTTGTTGGATTTCAACACCCATTATCCCTAGTCTGCATAGCAAAGGTGTGTAAGGATGTTGGGAGATGCAGCCTGGCAAGTAGGCTGAGCTATCCAACCAGTTCAGAGGAGAATCATATAGGTCAACAACTCCCATCATCCTCTGTCAATCACCCCTAAATGTCATCAATATTTTAATTTGGTTCATTATGAATATGTGAACCATTTTTGGTCTAGATCCCTCAATCCATGTAGAAGCCTTTGTGGATCAAACAATTCAACCAACCAATAAATTTAACATACTTTGACATACAGATAGATAGGGTGTTATTACAGTTATTAAAATTTAAAATTAAAAGTTATTAGCCTTATTAAAATTTACTGTATCTAATTTTCCTCACGTTTAGCCCTTAATGCTACTCATGAAGTCAAAAAAGTCCACTCAAGATTTCAAAATGAAGAACAGACTGCAGATACCACATGTACTATACAACAAGTACTGAATGCCAAAGTCAAGAAACAAAGGCATACATCAACAAAAGGTACAATGAGGGGGCTGGAAGTAATGCCATGACTGAAAATAGCACAAATGTTTGATGCTTGTTTTTGCCCATTTGCAATGAAACTTTTAAAAAGATAATAACAAAAGCTGAGAATAGATATTTTCATAGGGAAATATTTTGCTGACACAGCAACAAAGATTCCAAGTGTCTAATCTGACTGGTACTATATTCACTCATTTATTTACTAATTAACTGTGTGAAATTATTATTATTTATTTTATTATTTACTTTATTTATATACTGCTTTTCTCAGCCCTTAGGCGACTCAAATAAAGCATTTCTAAAAGTTAAAAAAACCCACCCTGCATCATCTTTCAAGTGGATAGACACATTGAGTGGATTTGGATGTTAAACCATGATTTAACATCAGAAATAAGAAAAAAATACTTTCTGAGTTATTCAACAGTTTAGAATATTTTTAAATGCCTTAGTTAAATATCATAGATTGCATCTACAATGCTGCTTCCAGTCTAGTGGGGGAGAGGAATGAGGTTGAAAGGTCAAGAGAAAATGTGGATGCATGAAGACTGGGTAAATACTATAAAATGTTGTAGAATGTGTTAATTGTTTGACATGATGGTGCTATTTCCATATTTTAAATGTATTTTTAAGTACTTTCAAAGTGTTTTGATCTCATAACAGCATTTGGTTTGACACAAATGAAGGCTGCTGCTGATTCATGTAATGTTTTCCTTTTCAGTGAAGAAAAAACAAACTGCACCGACTCCTACTGGACAAACAAGGATTCATTTGAATGCTGCTTCTGTTAATGGCCAGAATTCTAGCTTAGAGTACCTGAACCAAATTTTGCATGATATGGAGCATGGTATTGAGGAATATGAGAGGTGGATGGGACATGAAATCCAATATGTACACAGTCGTGAAGGGGTCTCTGGATTTACTCCTTCTCTGGTGCATGCCTTGAATCGGATATTGCACTGTTTGAAAGAGGTGGGAAAATAATTTGTATTACTGCAAACTATAGTAAGAACACATATCAAAATGTTTTGTCTTTTCTTATACAGCTATAGCATCTCAGAGTTTATTTGCAGTTGCTTTCTTTCAGTTTTAGAAAGGAAAGTTTCATTTGAAACTTGAACTCCCCCTATTGCTTACTGCCTTTAAGGTCGCTATTTCAGTATATTTTCCTACAGATAAAGACATACTGTCTGCATTTTGATATTGTGAGCTTTTCAAGTTAACATCACTCGCTTGAATTGTGTACTTAAATAGAAGTGATGAGCGCCAGTAGAGCTAGTGTAAAAAAACGGGGTCACAAAAATACCAACGGATAGTATTAACATATTTTACAAATATAAATATTAACAAAATTGTTCATGAAACGTGAGTAAAAGTTCATTGGCTGAAATATTGTTTCTCAGTCTCCAGTATGGGATGCTTGAATTTTGAATGAATTGCACTGTGTTCTTCTTGATAACTTCAAGTGAGCTATTTGTAACCCAAGAAGTGAGTTAATGTCAGTGATTTCATCAGTGTTCCCACTGCTACTTCTTAATGAGATAAGAAGATAAGTCCTCAATATCTGTCTAACGGTTGCCTAGTTCAAATGTTGGCTAAAAGTTTTATGTTGTATTAGCTGTTCCCCCTTACTCATTGCTGTGGCCAACCTTCCCTCTTTCTCTCCTTCTTTCCCTCCTTCCTTCACTCCCTCTTTCCTTCCTTCCTTCCCGTCTTTCCTTCTCTTCTTCCTTCCTTCTCTCTCTCTTTCCTTCCTTCCCCTATTTTCTTTCTCTTCTGCTGTCTCTTTTCTTTCTTCTCTCTTTTCTTCTTTCCTTCCCTCCCTCTTTCTCTACATCTTCCCCCTTCCTTCGCTCCTTCTTTCCTTCCTTCTTTCCCTTTTTTCTTTTCTTCTCTCCTTCTTTCCTTCTCTAACTTTCCTTCCCCCTTTTTCTTTCCCTCCCTCTTTCTCTCCTTTCTTCCTTCTCCCTTTCCTTCTTTCTTTATTTCCCTCCCTCTTTCTTTTCTTTCTTTCTTTTCTCCTCTTCCCTCCCTCCCTCTTTCTTTCTTTTCTTTCTTCTTTCTCTCCCCTTCCCTCCCCTTTCTTTTTCTGTATTGTCATTTAGATTTTCGTCATTTAGCTTTTGGGGCTTTTTAAGTCCCTTCTGCTGTGTTTTTCAGTGTTTTTATGAGGACATACATTGGGTTGTTAGGTGTCTTGTGTCCAAATTTGGTGTCAATTCCCCCAGTGGTTTTTGCGTTCTGTTAATCCCACAGACAAACATTACATTTTTATTTATATAGATTCGTTAATGTTTTGGAGGAAGAGAGATTAATCCACAACCAGTATTTCCTTTCATTGATTTTCTTGGAATGAAAATAGTGTTCACGATGGGTGAATCTGAATTATTGATATAACAGTTTCAGCTCCACCAAATCTGCAATTGTACTTGATAAAAGAATGATTTCATTTTTTAAAAATTGCTTAAAAAGCAGACTTTTATATGAATGTGGTAATAATATATGGAGTGCCGTGTGTCCAACTTACAATGAAACTTTACAACGGTTCTGCTTACTCTTTTTGCTTTGATATTTTGGCCTAAACTCCACAGACACAGAAAAAAGCACTGTATCTGGGATTGAAGCCTGACTTTTATTAAGTGCTTCTCTATGCTGCTTAAACTTGATAACTTGCATTGTCAGTCATATTATTCCTTTAGTGATGCTGTATTAACGATCCTCCTCTTGCTCCCCAAAAGACGGAGACAAAGGTACGCCAAGAAATAATTAATAGGCAGCAACTTGAAAGGGAACTAAGTGAGCATAGAGCCCTCATTGATGCTCTAACTGCTGAAATCCTTTTGATGAGAGAAGAAAACCTTGCTATGCAGGTACTGGCCAAAATTACTCTGCATGATTCATACTTGGAATTTAATGGCAACATACAATAATTTATATTGGATTAATTTCTGCCATTTGTCATTTCATCATTATAATAATTCAATTTTGCATTGCACTTTCTATAGCAGGGGTCCTTTAACTTTTTAAGCAGAGGGCTGGTTCACGGTCCCTCAGACTTTTTGGGAAGCCGGACTTTAGTTTGAAAAAAAAAACTAATTCTTATGCACACTGCATATATTTTATTTGTATTGCAAAAATATATGTGAAAAAACAAGGTTATTTCAAATGAAAAACAGTTTTAACTAACATAAACTTACCAGGAAGTATGGCCTGCTTTTGGCTGATGAAATAATCAAGTTAATTAGGACTCGTTGTGTGCCTTCAAGTCATTTCAGACTCTGGTCTACCCTAAAGCTAAAGTTTAGGGTGAGAGCCGGGTACATGACATTGGAATGCCACATCTAGCCCTCAGGCCTTCGTTTGGGGACCCCCTGTTCTATTGCCTCTATGTGACAATGATACACTGTGATGGAAATATTTATTTACCGTATATTCCGGGTTACCAGATGACTTTTTAGGAATGTAAAACCTTATAAAATTTTGGGGGTCGTCTAGTACGCCAGGTATAAAATTAAAATAATAATAAAATTGCATACTATGGCTGCCTTGACCTCGGGCTCCCCTCCTCCGCCTTGGCTCATGGCGGCCTCCCGGGCAGGCTCCCTGTCCTTCCTCCCTTCCTGGCTGCCTTCCTTTCTGAAGCCCAGGCCTCTCCTTTGTTGGCAGCCGGGGCTCTGGGCTGCTTCCCGCGCTGCTCAGTCCACTCTCCTTCCTGTCCAGGCCTCGCGAGAAATGCCTCTTCTCCCGCAAGACAACGTTGTCTCGCGGGAGAAGAAATGCTTCGCGTGAGGTGGACAGAAAGGAGGAGAGCGGCCTGAGGAGCACCGGAGGCCCTTCTGATCAGCCACTCTCCTTCTTCCTGTCCAGGTCTCGCGAGAAGTGAAAACAAAAAAAAAAAGAAAAAAGAAAAAAAAAGAAGAAAAAGAAAAAAAGAAGTGCCTGGTATGGGGAGTCGTCTTGACGAGCATATCTCCAACTCTTTATTTTGTTTTTTAAAGTTGGGGGGTCGTCTTATAGCCCCAGTCATGTTGTACCCCGGAATATACGGTAATTTATTGTATATGGTTATCACAACAGAAAGTAATTATGTTTTTACTGGCCTACAAAAATAGAGCCCCTGGTAGTACAGTGGGTTAAAGCACTGAGCTGCTGAGCTTGTTGACCGAAAGGTCGCAGGTTCGAATTCAGGGAGCGGTGTGAGCTTCCGCTGTCAGCCCCAGTTTCTGCCAATCTAACAGTTCAAAAACATGCAAATGTGAGTAGATCAATAGGGAAGGTAACGGCGTTCCATGCAGTCATGCCGGCCACATGACCTTGGAGGTGTCTACAGACAATGCCGGCTCTTCGGCTTAGAAATGGAGATGAGCACCACACCTGGACTTCATGTCAGGAGAAAACCTTTACCTTACATTTTACAAAAATAGAATGCAGAAAAATGTCTGTCATGCTTATTGTTTGCTAACCATTAGCTAATGGGAGTGCTCAAATAATGTATTTCTTCTTTTTGACTTCTAGAGTATGTTTCAGCAGAACCTTGCTGCACGAGATGAACAGTTGCGCACTGGTGTGGCTCAAGCCACAGATTCAGACAGCATGGCAGACTGTGAAAAGACAAGGGAGTTTTCAGTCAGAGGTCCAGAGGCCACTAAAGGTGTGTAGCTTCCACTCAATGGGAGTAAATGCAAATAATCTGTGTGATGTGTCAGTTTTAAAATACAGGGCGGGACATAAAGATCTCCATATTTCAAGGGGGCAGTGTGTTGGAGGTAGAGAGGTGGGGTATATTTGATTCATTAGGTTAGGCTCTGCTGATTTTAGTACTCATCATGAGTTGAAGTGATGAACATCTGGGCTTTGACGTTCACGCATATTGGAAGAACCCCCATTCTGTGATAGTGTTCTGTAAACACTTTGTGCTCGGTTAAAATGCATCTGTACCAGCTGGGAAAATGATTTTGCTATGGATTTCTAATCTTTGGGCAACTGGATCCAGACTGAAAAGAAAATCCCTGGCAGAATTAGGAATGTTAGAACATCAGAAAATATGAAAGCAGTAAGAGCATCCACCTAGCAATCACCAAGGCATTCTGCTCATAAACTTGCCATGTTACCGGTGATCTCAAGCTGGAGTTTGAGGAGAATTCTACATGCTGATTGCAAAAAGTTTCATCTGATATGATGTTTAAGCCTCATTAAAACAAAAACTTTTTAAATGCAATTTTCAGAAATATATACTGTATATACTCGAGTATAAGCCAACCCGAATATAAGCCAAGGCACCTCATTTTACAACAAAAACTGGGGAAACGGATTGACTCGAGTATAAGCCGAGGGTGGGAAATGGAGCAGCTACCGGTATATTCCAAAATAAAAATAGATACCAATAAAAATGGCTTAATTGAGGCACCAGTAGGTTAAATGTTTTTGAATAAATAAGACTGTCCTCTGATTAAAGCTGGGGGTGGTGACGGCCGACAGGGAGTTCTGGCGTGGGCTGGTCCATGAGGTCACGAAGAGTCGGAGACGACTGAACGAATGAACAACAACAACTGATTAAACCATTATTCTAACCTTCTTCAGTGTAAATATGTTTACATATCCTTCCAATAATAATAGAGTAACTAATAAATGTAATAACAACAATAAAGAATAAAATAATAAATGTAATAATAATAAAATTAGTAAAATGATTAATGTAATAATAATAATAGAGTAAAATAATAAATGTAATAATGTCAATAATAACAATAATAAAGAATAAAATAATACATGTAATAATAATAATAGAATAAAATAATACATGTAATAATAATAATAGAGTAAAATGATTAATGTAATAATAATAATAGAGTAAAATAATAAATGTAATAATGACAATAATAAAGAATAAAATAATAAATGTAATAATAATAATAATAGAATAAAATTATTAATGTAATAATAATAATAGAGTAAAATAATTAAAAACCTTGCCTCGAGTATAAGCCGAGGGAGACTTTTTCAGCCTAAAAAAAGGACTGAAAAACTAGGCTTATACTCGAATATATACAGTACATTTTTTCTAGATAGCTTCATTCATTTTTTTTTTACTCCTTCAAAACGTGGGGCTCCATGAGAAACTTTTGCTTCAAAAAGAGCTCTGCGGCTGAAAAAAGTTTGCGAACCCCTGCTCCAAAGGATCAAACTACATGTTGAATTAATTGTGGGTTTTGGAATGTGTGTCTAACATGGCAACCCTAAGGAGCCATTGCCACATTCTGTTCCTGACACAAGTCCTGTACTGGTTTAACAGTGGAACATTACACCCATTTGTTTTTATAAAAGAAGCTATTTGCATTCAAAACTACCTTTGGGGAAAGGGTGAAAAAAACCCAGAAATCTAACACGGGCTTCCTGTTTGTGACACGAGAGCAATAAGAGGTGAGAGTCCTTTCGCCATAGTGTTTTTCTTTCAGAATAAAAGTTACATCACTCATACATTTTTAATACATCTCTAGTAGGTTCTGAGATTGAAGCTCCCCATGCATCGTGGGGAATGGTGATGCTTGGCACAATAAAGGCCAAGATTTAAAGATTCAATTCTTCTGTTCTATACTGTGAACAAAGAACCTAAAACTTACTTATACAAGATATAATCCACACATTTTTTTTCTAATGTAGCACATTTATGTCTGGGTTGTTGTAGGTTTTTCGGGCTATATGGCCATAAGGATGCTTGCCATAGATGCAGGTGAAATGTCAAGAGTGAATGCTTCTACAACATGGCCATATAGCTCGAAAAACCTACAACAACCCAATGATACCAGCCATGAAAGCCTTCGACAACACATTTATGTCATTTGTCTCAGCAGAGAACCCCATCCCAAACTGTACTGGGGCAAAGGTGGAGGTGCCTGATTGTTCCAGTAAAAGTGCAGTGCTGCTACATCCTCCAGATAAAACCTACCCAGCACCTTTGGTATCAGCTTGTACGTTCCAGCCAGCAGTCATGTTATCTCCACCACTGCAGATGAGCAGCAAGGCCTTGCCTCTTGTTCAGGGAGGTAAGAGGATTGTTTTGCTTGCATCTCCATTCTCAATATGTATCAGGCACTCTTGTGAAATTCTAAATACACTGGATATTGTCCAGCGCCAGAAAGCCTTTATTTCGCCTTTACAGCTAGCCTTCGCTAATCCAGATGGCAAGATGGTCTTTCTTGTTTGCTTCTCCCAGCTGATTGGTTTGAAAAAGAAATATAATAATGATAATAATACTTTATTTATACCCCGCCACCATCTCTCCAAGGGACTCGGAGCGGCTTATGTGAGGCCAAGCCCGACAACACCTCAATAACAAAATAGAATAAACAAAAACAATACAATGAATATAAGTCACATATAAACAATAACACACAAAGATTTAAAAACCTATGACCAGGCCAAATGTACTAGTTTAAAATTAAAAGATGAACGCTGGGCATGAACAAAGGTAGGATATATGTGGTAGGAGGGTTTAAAAGAAGTAAAGGGAGCACAATCCAACAAATAGTTAAAGTGCTTCTGAGGACATTTTGCTGGGAATTATTCCTTATTCCAGGAAGGCACACTGGAACAGCCACATTTTCAGACTCCTCCTAAAGGCTGCCAATGTGGGGGCTTGCCTGATATCCTTGGGAAGTGAGTTCCAGAGTCAGGGGGCCACCACCGAGAAGGCCTTCTCCCTTGTCCCCACCAATCGCACCTGAGACGGGGATCAGCAGCAGGGCCTCTCCAGATGATTCGAAGAGATCGTGTGGGTCGTACACAGAAATGCGGTCACGCAGGTAGGCGGGTCCCAAACTGTTCAGGGCTTTGTAGGTAAGAAACTGCACCTTGAATTGGGATTGGAAAATGAACGGCAGCCAATGGAGCTCCTTAAACAGGGGGTTGACGGCTCCCTGTAAGTCGCACAGATGAGAAAAGAAACAAAGGTGTTCGTTTTACACTTGTATTTGGGTAAAATGCACTTAAAACACAAGGAGCAAATACACATATTTTACAGTTTTTTAAAAAACAAAAAATGCCAAGCCAGTCAGAATATGTCTGAAAAATACTGTTGGTCCTGTGTGTAAAATAAGTGTTCTTAAAAGTCCATTTACTTCAGAATATTTTAAAATGGGTCATTTGGAATTAATTACAGATATGTTAATTGTGTGTTCAGATAATATTTTTCAGAGAGGGGATAGGGTTGGCACTCCTAAGTAGCATTGTAACATCCCCCCCCCCCAACCCCCCGCCCCTGGAATTCAGTTCCCTTGCTTCCACCCTTGGCTAGCCTTTGTTAGCATCCTTCATTTATGATGAAATACAAAAGTATTTGGTTTGCTTTTATTTCTTTTCCTTAGAATATTCTACAAAAGAGCAAAATGAAGAGCAGAAGCCTTTTGCCGTACACCAGTCACCAGTGGAACAGGAGAATAGCTGTCCTTTTGTCCAAAGAGCCGGTGGTCCTGTTGCAACCACATCCTTGCAGAATTCTCATTGCTCAGATGACCACCTACTAGTAGAAAACCTCTCTGCAGAAGTGGGACAAGATTTGGGTGACTTTTTAGAGAGAATCAGTCCTGGTGCACCCATGGTGGATACACAGAATGATGATTTCCAGAAGCAAATAGTTGAGCTCATACTCCAGAATTCCATTATTAAATCTCAGCTGAACAAATTCAGACATTGCAGCCAGGAGACCAGCAGCAATTTGCAACAACTAGACAGAAAGCAGGATGGATCTATGGAAGAACAGGTAGGAATGAAAGGCCAATCTAGCATGCCATGAATGAGTATTTAAATCCAGAGTTTCTTCTGTTCTGTAACCACCTCTAAAAAGAATAGTGAGTTTATGCATGCTTTTGCACTTGCATTTACATAATTATTCACTTTGTAAATAATTCCCCATAAGATGTATGTACAGAATGCCAAGTCAGATGTTACTTTCTTTTTGTGGTAACCAAACACAGAAACAGACAATATAAGTAGGGTATCAGAAGAAAAAGAATAACTACTGATTTCCTGTAGCCCCAATTTCTGTAAACTTAGTAAGTTCTTCTGTTTCTGGGGACTACCTTTTTCTGAGATTTTATAAAATGCCATCCTACTCACTCTATTTTTTTCTTCAAAGATAAGCATTGCTGAAATCTCTACATATCGGATGTATTTTGCGCTCTTGGGATTGTTCTGAAGTTGGTTCCTTACATTAAAACAATTCACTGGCCACTAAAGTGTAAAAATATTACAGATTTTTATTGTATTTCAAGTGAAGGCAAGTTAAAAAGGACATGCTCAGAATTGGTTCCGGCATGAAGGAAAACCCAAGAGAATTGAGGAAATAAAGAGGAATAAACTTAAGAAAATGAAAATTAAAGAGAAAAATAATCAAAGCATTTACTGCTGTACAGTGTTTACAAAGAACTCTGCAGAAGATGCTTTAGGAAAATCAGCCTGTTTAGCAAGCATTTCAAATGCTGATTTGCTAATTATTTTCAACCTATTTACCTAGAGCAGTGGTTCTCAACCTGGGGTCCCCAGATGTTTTTGGCCTTCAACTCCTAGAAATCCTAACAGCTGGTAAACTGGCAGGGATTTCTGGGAGTTGTAGGCCAAAAACATCCGGGGACCCCAGGTTGAGAATCACTGACCTAGAGTGACGTAAAAATTTATCTGGCCAAAAGGGATAGAGAGTGGCAAGAAGACCTGGTCTAGATGAATAAACTTGTATACAAACGGTCTCCAAGTTACAAACATGATAGGTTATGTAGGTTTGTTCTTAAGTTGAATTTGTTGGTAGGTTGGAACAGGTACATTTATTAAGTATAACACCAGCCAGATATGTGTGTTTGTGTGTTTATGTATATATATAGGCTTTGGATAGCACAAGGAAGGGTTAACACACCTGTGGTATTTATTTTTCTTTCTGTGACTCTATTCAGAAGATTTCACACCACTTTCTTTCCTTGTGAAAATTGGATTTTGAAAAACTGGGCTTGTTGTGAAAACAAGGATTGGTGATAAAGCTTCAGTGAAGACACCTTTTCCCCATGATATAGCTCTTCCAGGAGTGAACTTCCCTTCCAAGAAGTAGATTTCTCTCACTGCCGTGGTCTCGCTCCTGTTATTTAATAATAATAATAACAACAATAACAACAACAATAATAATCTTTATTTATACCCCGCCACCATCTTCCCCAATGGGGACTCGGGGTGGCTTACATGAGGCCAAGCCCAAACAACATACTACAGCAAAATAAAACCAAAAACATAAGCAACAAGCAAGAACATCATAATTACACAAAAACATATGAATACATTAACAATATAACATTACAATAAACGCAATCACAGTGACAATGGGCGGGCCACATGTGCAGGATAAAATGTTAAAAAACTCAGGTGAGATAAGAGGAGCAAGTTATTTGCAAAGAGGGAGTTCATAAAAATGGGGTTGTGGAACCAAGCTTTCTCACAAGGGGGGGGGGTGTACTCCAGTCACAGAAACGTTGAGGGGAGCAGTAATGTAACTAGCCCCAGTTATTAATCTGGCTGCCGAACATTGGACAAGTTGTAGTTTCCAGGCCGTCTTCAAGGGTAGCCCCACATAGAGTGCATCACAGTAGTCCAATCTAGAGGTAACTAAGGCATGGACCACCATGGTCAAGTCAGACTTCACGAGGTAATGTCGCAATTGGCGCACAAGTTTTAATTGTTCTTAATGATAAGTCATTTGTAAATTTTTGTCTCTGTGTGTGATGCTTCAGCTGACTTACACATGATCTAACATCAAATTGTGTCCAATTCTGTTTAAACAACTGCTCTGAAGAAATTGGCTCTCCCCCTCACCTTTTTTTTTTTTTAGTTTTGGTCTTGCTGTTACTCATGTACATTTAATACCTTTTCTCTTAGATATTTTAATTGTCTTCCTTTTAAGGGGAACAGAATCCTATCAGATTCTTTATCCCAAAAGCTTACACTTTGTAACTATTGATAAAAATACTGGATCAATTTTCCCATATTTGTTGGGGTTCAGCCTGTGTGTGAACCTGAACTTGATTCTTTGATTGTATTTTCTGATGTCAATGTAGATGTCAATGTGAATTCTGAGGCCAATTTAGATGACGGTTTGAGTAGTGAAAATCCTACAGCCTTGGAAAGTGAAAGTCAAGATTCCCATGAGAACATGCATTCCGAGCCGAGCGGAGACGTTTCACTCCCTTTTCCTCCCAGTCTTAGTTCTCCAGAGAATCTGACACCTGGTCTGCCTAATGAGGATAGGCGGGGGCAGATTTGGCAGAGCTGGGGTGAAGCACAAAGTTTACGTAGGTCAGCCAGATTGAGAGAAATGCAAACAAAATCTTCAGGCGTGTCTTGCAATAGATTTCCCGGCCTTAAGTATGCCTGGCCTGAATGCAGCTTCAGACCAGGCATCGTTCCAGATTCATGTGCAAGCTTTTGCAGGTCTCCTGATTCAAGTGGCCTTGTTCCTCGGAGGTTTTCTAGTTGTTCCAAGTATGGTTAGTGGATTGCTAACAGGTTCCAGGATTCAGCAGTTTTGCTGTGGGTTTCATGATCTTGTTTATGGACATTTCTTGTTGCTGATTTTTACTGTGACTTTTTACCTTTGCATATTTCTTCTATTTTGTATTCATCTTTCATCAATAAAGAAGGATTGTTTTCCTGAAGTCAAGTGTGGTGGATTGTTGTCTGAGGGTCCAGTTTCCTGCTCTGGGTTGCAACAATATTGTTGGGATCCTACCAGTTACTATTATCCAGTTTAAAATGTTATTCTGGGGCAAAAACCCTTTTTTTAACCAAAACCCTTTTAGCCAGTGTTTGGTTAAAAATATAACAATTGTTTATCCTTTTTCAGTTTGTGTAGTAATTTCTTATGCAGTGGTATATTTAACACTTCATTTAAAGTCCAAGTTGTTAAAATCCAAATCCAAAATTGTGTGTCTTGCATTGTCATTTGTCTGCTACAGTTCTGTTGGAGAATGATATTTCTGAACCTTACCTTTTGTCATAACAAGCAGCATTATTTTACGAGAACTAAATTATTGAAGGAGAGTATGATGACTACCCACTGCAGTTGTATAGATCTGATATGTAAAATCTTATAAGCTGTGTTCAGTAATGCCAGAAATTTAAAATTTCTTTATAAGATGCCTTTGTAAAGTGTCCCTTGAATGCTCTCCTAGGAAGATAGCCAAGCCATAAGCAGAGTGAAGGAATTTCCAAGCAGTTTGGATGAACGAATAGCTGAGCTGAATCGCCAGAGCGCAGAGGCACGTGGCAAACTGTTGTTGCTGACCAATCAGCAGAGATTATCTATTTCTGTGTCTCCACCAGTTTCACCAATTCTATCACCACTTGTTAACTTGACTGGTATGTTCCAATCTAACGTCCTATCATATTCATGCAGTTGTTTTTATCTAACAGAATCTTTTGACCTTAAAAAACCTAGATGCTTCTTTGTTTAATATGCACTCAAAGTTTGTTGTTACTGTATTTCTAAGACTTACTTTTCCCCATATAAACATCTCTAAAAAAAGGGGTGCATCTTAGAATTGCAGATGTATCTTATGTATTTTTGTTGGTAGTGGTGATACTAAAATTATGGTGTGTCTTACAATCAGTGGCATCTTACAGTTGAAGAAATACAGTATGTTCCTTCAAGTTGTTTTCAATTTATGATAATCCTAAGGCTACCCTGGCTATTGCCTTTTTCCGTGGCAAAGAGACTGTGTCTTGTCCAAGCTCACTCAGCAGATTTCCATGACTGAGTAGGGACCCTGGTCTCCTAGAGTCCTAGTTTGACACTCAAGCCACTGTACAACACACTGGTTCTGTAAGAGCACGCTTTTACTTAAAATAGCTTAATTATATCACCTAGTGATCTTCCAGTAAACTGGCCTTTCTGTGTTTTCTAGAAAAGGGAAGGAGGACAGTTGAGGTATCTGTTCCAGTATCAGAAACTCTGGATAGTTCTAAAGAAGACATACCTTTTCCTGCTAATGGTGCCTATACTAGGAGGTAAAATTAAGATGACTTCATATTTTTACAGGTAGGCCAGGAGCTTTTGAACTTAGAATCCTGCAATCAATATTATGTAGCTAAAATGACACAATTTCCCAAAATACAGGAAGCTGGACTGGATGGCTCCTGTGCCATCTTCCAACTGTTGAGTATGATTGTAAATGTATGCCATCATTATTGTTGTTGTTATTATTATTATTATTATTATATAATAGTAATAACAATATAATTAAAACAATTCCTGAAGCATGGAGTTGGGAGTTGTGTTTAAGGTTTATACATTAGACTGTTTGTCTTTGATTTCAGAATCCTTGATTTTCTCTCTATTGCCCAGTAAGGGACTTGCTACTTCAGAATGCAACATACATTCGCTGTTTCCTTCTTAGCCCCAGAGAGACATTTCCCACAGCCTCAACAATAGCAACTTTATTTACTGGCCTTGATTCGGCTGTGGCTCCCTCCATCCTGTACCTGATCTTTTTCTTTCTCACACCGGGATTGTGGCGCAGGTGGCTGAGTGTCAGCTGCATTAAGATCACTCTGACCAAAAGGTCATGAGTTCGAAGCCAGCCCGGGTTGGAGTGGGTTTCCAACCAATTGTGTAGCCTGTTGTCAACCTTTGCAACCCGAAAGACAGTTGCATCTGTCAAGTAGAAAATTAGGTACCACCTTAAAGTGTGAGGAGACTAAATTAACTAATTTATGAGGCCATAAAAAAGACTCCAGCAAAGCACTCCAGCAAAAAAGCATGCGGGGAATGCGGAAGTACTTCATCAGTGTCGCAGATGGACGATGAAAGCGACAGCTCCCCTGGCGGCCAGAAAAAGTTAAATAGCCTCTGTGTATGTCTGTATATGTTGTATGTCAAAATTGGCATTGAATGTTTGCCATATATGTGTACACTGTAATCCGCCCTGAGTCCCCTGCGGGGTGAGAAGGGCGGAATATAAAAGCTGTATATAAATAAATAAATTAATTTTGGGGAAGAAAGAGCATCTAGGAGGATTGCTGTACCCGATTCCATCAGTTCTCCAGATCCAATCAGGGCTCAGCCATTTGTTTATGAAAAAGAATAATGCCATCAGTCACTCAATGTTTATTAGATTTCTTTCCTCCCACCCCTCTTGCTTTCTATCTCAGAGAAGCTTACAGCAAGGCAACTGTTACAGAAGACTCCAGAGAAAATAGAAGAAAGCAGGAACCAGCAAGTATGTTTCACGCATAGATATCTGCTCATTAACCCCCATAGTTTGCAGTGGACCCTCTTATTCCCACACAGATGCCTTAGCCCAGGGGTTCTCAACCTGGGGTCCCCAGATGTTTTTGGCCTACAACTCCCAGAAATCCCATCCAGTTTACAGTGTCATGATGTGATTGTTTAATGTTTTACTGTTATTGCTTTAATGTTTATTGGTTTGTTTTCTGAGTTTTATTGTTGTATTTGTTATGCTGTTGTTTTATTGAGGGCCTTGGCCTTTGTAAGTCGTACCGAGTCCTTCAGGAGATGTTAGCGGGGTACAAATAAAGTTAATAATAATAATAAATAATAATACTAGCTGTGAGGATTTCTGGGAGTTGAAGGCCAAAAACATCTGGGGACCCCAGGTTGAGAACCACTGCTTAGCCACATTGCATGGGGAAGGGGTGGAAGGATTTTATACATTGCTCTTATCCTGTGGCAGCACCAGTCCAGATTTGGATTCCAGTGCTTAGAGACTTGTGTTGGGGAAAATCTTTGCAGTGGGAGAAATGAGAAGACCTTTTATCAATCCAAGATCACAATCTGGATCAAATAACATTAGTTGAGCCTCCTAAGTTGAGCCACACCAAGATTTCATTCCAGAGAGGCTTTGTTGATAATTAAGACAGGGAGATGTCTTGCTAATCTATTGTACTTGGACTCACTTGACTTGTTCAATCTGTGCAATCTGTTTTGTGATTCCTAAGATTTGCTTGGATTATATTATATTCTTAAAGTCTTGCTTAATTCTGGTTGCAATTTGAGTCAGCTCTTCCATAAATTGCAATAGCAGTCTGGTTTATGAAATTCAGAAAAGGGAGGGAGTTGTTGTTAGCTAAAACACATGCTCATAATGTATTGTCGAAGGCTTTCATGGCCGGAATCACTGGGGCATCATGTGGTTTCCGGCCTGTATGACTTGTGTTCTCGCAGCATTTTCTCCTGATGTTTTGCCTGCATCTGTGGCTCCTCTAAACATAATCCACTGATTGTGGTAATATGAAAATAACTAAATTAACTAAATGTATATAATACACATCAAAAAAAAAAAAACAACTGCCACATTCACATTAAGTAGAAACAACTAGTCTACTCATATGGAACAGGACATTTACTCACACGAAGAACAGGACATTTACTCACACGAAGACTGTGTTTTATATTTCAAGAGAAGACCAGTTGTTTCTACTTAATGTGAATGTGGCAGTCCTGTTTTTTTGATATGTGTATGTGTAATATATACATTTAGTTAATTTAGTTATTTTCATATTACCACAATCAATGGATTTTGGTCTCCACAGTGTTAGGGGAACCCATTTTTCTTCTCTGCTCCTCTGAACATGTCAGCCACAGGTGAAGGTGAAAAGTCAGGAGAAAATGCTGCTGGGACACGGTCATACAGTCCAGAACCCACACAACACATAAATCTTTTAGTCAAATTTACACAGAGTTAATTTGAGAAGTCAAAAGACTTGCCTTTAAATTGAGGAGATTTCCAGTCTTCAGTCTTCTTGTAGGTTGATTTACTTACTTACTTACTTACTTACTTAGGCGATTCCTCGTTGGCCAAGTAGAATAGTCTTCCAGCATCAGTATTCTTATAGATCCGTAGGTGACTGTGGAGCCCTATTCTTGACCTCCATCTTCTCCCGCAGTGAAGGCATTGGTTTCCAGGTGGAAGGCGATCTCGGTCGGGGTTGGCTTGACGCACCTTCCTCTTGGCACGTTTCTCTCTTTCACCCTCCATTCGTGCCTCTTCAAATTCTGCAGCACTGCTGGTCACAGTTGACCTCCAGCTGGAGTGCTCAAGGGCCAGGGCTTCCCAGTTCTCAGTGTCTATGCCACAGTTTTTAAGGTTGGCTTTGAGGTTGATTTATTATTCCAATGAAAGGACGCTTTTCTTAGTTTTTATCCCGCTTGAAAGCTGGGGCAAATTCCACAGAGAGGCTTTTACCTAGAGCCATTATCTTTTCTGGGATCGCTCCTATGGATTCACAGAACACTGACAAACACTGCCTCTTGTGGATAATCCTTAATCTCTATACCTAGAGGAAATTTTCTTCCAGTCAGGAAGCATCAAAACTAGCTTTTCTCTGGAAATTGTATCTCCTTCGCATCCTGAAACTTTACCTTCAAAGTCTCGACTCTTGCCATCCACTTTCAGACTGGAATGGGAATTAACAGAAGAATTGCTTAAGGATCCCTCCCCCTCTTCTTTTCTTCTATTCCTCCAGATCTAAAGACTTGTCTACCACAGAGTATCTCACTGGGAAATGTGCAGTTGAGAAACAACAATTACAGGACAAAGGTTTGTATTACTTGTTTATTAGTGTTGATGAGCAAATGCTAATCCTTATAAAGTCGAATTAACACCATTCACACACAAAAGCGTGTCAGTATGCTTGGGGAAACCACAAATGCTAAATAAAGAAATAGCACCACAATAAACTATTGACTGCAATTGTTCATTGGAATGAATGCAAATGAATGTTATTTACCATCTGCAAAGAACTGGTGCAAACATGCCTGAAAAAAAGAATGAGAATGATAAAAGTAAAAATATTAAGGAAAGTTTAAGATTGTCACTGGTAAACAATTTTTTAAAAAAATCCAGGAGTAATTGTGGTTGAGTGAAAGAGAGTTTGATTATAGTTATGGGAATCCCTGAGACAGTAGAATTCAAGAGGAAAAGAGAACTGAGGAATATCAATATCTAGAAATGGGAGTTCAGCATCTTGGGGAATGGGGATGATTGTATTTCTAGTGCAGTGGTCCTCAAACTAAGGTCCGGGGGCTGGATGCGGCCCTTCAAGGTCATTTATCCGGCCCTCGCTCAGGGTCAACGTAAGTCTGAAATGACTTGAAAGCACAACAACAACAATCCTATCTCATAAGCCAAAAGTAGGCCCACAATTCCCACTGAAATACTAATAATTTTATATTTGTTGAAATTGTTCTTCATTTTAATTATTGTATTGTTTTAAAGTGTTTTTTGCATGACAAATGAGATATGTGCAGTGTGCATAGGAATTCATTCATTCATTTTTTCAAATTATAATCTGGCCCTCCAACAGTTTGAGGGACTGTGACCTGGCCCTCTGTTTAAAAGGTTTGAGGACCCCTGTTCTAGTGGTTCAGTAAAACTCAATAAAACCTTACTTTCTGACTAAAATCATTATCAGTGGGATCACAATAGCACAGCTTCATAAATTGACACTACTTGGAATGTGTGGCCTCTTTGGTTCCTAGCTTCTTAGACAGAATGCAGAATTTGTTAGACTGTAAAATGAAGAAGTGTTCTTGTTGTGTGCTTTGACTGATTTATGGCAGCCCCAATCTAGAAGTCTCTTGACAAGATATATTTTCAGGAGGTTTTCCATTGCCTTCTCTAAGGCAGTGGTTTCCAAACTGTGTTCCACGGAACACTAGGATTCCACAAAGACAACATGAGGGTTCCACAAAAATCTTTAAAATCTAATTTAAAATGGAGTGTTACAAACCCACGTAGTCTTTGTAATAGCTGATCTGTGCTACAACTATTGGTGTCAAGTATGTATGTATGTACTATTTGTATTCATATCCCACTTCTCTCACAAAGGAGATTTGAAGCAGCTAACACTAAAAACATTTCAGTTCAATTCATTTTTTTAAAATTTCATTTATATATCGCTTTTCTCTATCCCTGAGGGGACTCAGAGTGGTTCACAAAAAATAAATGGCAAAATTCAATGCCTCACAAAATATAAAATGCAAAACATAACTAAAATAGCATATAATATAATATGTAAATTAAAACCCAAAGAATACAAACATTCAAATGGAATTAAACCAGGACTGAGTACAATTGTAATGTATTTAAAAACACAAAGTTTTAAAAGTTGGCATTATACTAAATATGCTGAATTGGACATGGCGTTCAGTAAATGTAAAAATGGCAAAACAGCTGGACTGGATGATCTAAGGATGGAATAAATTAAGAAGTTTTGTCCAAAAGAAAGGTGCTGGCTGTTGAACAACTGCACTGCATCCTGTCAGATCCCCAAAATCTGGAGGAAAGCAAGAGTCATAGCCATTTTGAAACCAGGCAAAGATTGTAATGATCCAAAAAACTATAGACCAATCTCCTTGTTGTGCCATCTTTACAAAGTTCTGGAGATACTGATTTTGCATAGAACTATGAAAAAAATATCAAACCATTTTAAACCCTGTTCAACTACATAAAACATAGCTTTTGACATGTTGGGAATTGAGATAGTATTCATAAAATATCAGAGTTAAATTTATTCAAAATTAGATGTTATGTAGGAAATTGAGAAACTTATTTGAATTAGCATCAAATGATCCAGAACATAATTTTGATTAGACAAATCAGGGATAAGAGTTAGGGTTGCATGGAAAATAAATGCATTCTGAAGGTTCCCATGATCAGAAAAGTTTGGGAACTGCAGCGCTAAGGATGAGCATGACATTCCCCAGATGCTTCAGTGGATTTTCAGTGAGTGTGTTGGGTTGAATCCTGGAATCTTAGTCCAACATTCAAACAGTTGTACCATGTCTATTTATTTATTTATTTATTTACAGATTTTATATTCCACCCTTTTTGCCCCGCAGGGGACTCAGGGCGGATTGCAGTGTACACATATATGGCAAACATTCAATGCCAATTTTGACATACAAACATATACAGACATACACAGAGGCTATTTAACTTTTTCTGGCCGCCAGGGGAGCTGTCGCTTTCATCGTCCATCTTGGACACTGATGAAGTACTTCCACATTCCCCGCATGCTTCCCTGCTGGAATGCTTTGCTGGAGTCTTCTTTATGGCCTCATAAATCAGTTAATTTAGCCTCCCCACACTTTTAAGGTGGTACCTAATTTTCCTACTTGACAGATGCAACTGTCTTTCGGGTTGCAAAGGTCAACAACAGGCTACACACAATTGGTTGGAAACCCACTCCAACCCAGGCTGGCTTTGAACACATGACCTTTTGGTCAGAGTGATCTTAATGCAGCTGACACTCAGCCAGCTGCGCCACAATCCCGGTGTTTAGGGTCCCAAAGCATTCTGATTGTGTTTTCTAGAGATATATCTCTCCATGTACATCAAGAAATTGATTGGAATGGGTCAATAAAGAGGGGGGTGACAAAACACACACACACACAAGAAATGTAACTCACTGTATCTTTTTTTCTCCATTTGTACAGACTGAAAATCAAAAAGAAGAAGGCTGGTTTGCCTTGTCAACACACTTCAAGCAGTACCAAGTCTAGCCATGTAGATATAATTTTGTTTTTAATGGGGTTTATGGTGTTTACATGAAGTTCTGGAGCTCTTTGTGCTAGAACTTTGAAATTCCAGCCCTGCTAATTGTGCTGTATTCCTCTCACCTCAAAGGAGCACAGCTGGAACCCACTTTCAGGCAGGATTCTTGCTCTCTTACAACCTCAGGGCTGTCAAAAGAGCTGTGCGTAACAGGCTCGTGTGCGGCATCTCATGCTCCCTTAGCTTTAATTACACAATTTGTATTAAAGAAACAGGAGACTCACTCGTACGAGCTATGTTCAGCTTCATGTTCATTGTGGCGTGTTTAAACAGTGCTCACACGGCAAGCTATCCATTTGAGTTGGCATTTACTGGATATCTTTTATTTGTAATGTTTAGCACTGTATTGTAAAATTCTTTTGTATGCCATTGAAATGGTTGGTTTAACAAAAACTTGACAATGTTTTAGCTCCTATTGCTGTCATCAGACAAGTATTTTTGAGAAATAAAGCTATTTTTCTCCTGTGGTAGTAGTGATTCAATCATGGAAAAGACATTGTGTCACATAAGGAATATTCCTGGACGTGGACATACAATTTGGTGAGTGGGGGGATCTAGTAAACTCATGGATTGTGACTTTCTCAGTTTCCCTGACAGATGTGTTCTGACTTAAAACTTTACAGCAGGGGTCCTCAAACTTTTAAGGCCCGGGGGCCGGATACGGCCTTCCAAGGTCATTTACCTGGCCCTCACTGCTGAACATCTCTCACAGTCAGGAAGTTCTTCCTAATGGTCAGATGGAATCTCCTTTCTTGTAGTTTGAAGCCATTGTTTCGCGTCCTAGTCTCCAGGGAAGCAGAAAACAAGCTTGCTCCCTCCTCCCTGTGGCTTCCTCTCACATATTTATACATGGCTATCATGTCTCCTCTCAGCCTTCTCTTCTTCAGGCTAAAACATGCCCAGCTCCTTAAGCCGCTCTTCATAGGGCTTGTTTTCCAGACCCTTGATCATTTTAGTCGCCCTCCTCTGGACACATTCCAGCTTGTCAATATCTCTCTTGAGTTATTATCATTTGTTTGGGGAAGGCGGAAAAGATCTGGATTGTGTTCATGTATGTGAACAGGCCATACTGGGAACAAGAAGGAGGTAGGTGTGGGTCCATTTCAAGCATATGGCCCTCTCTGCAACCTAGAACCTTTAAATGGAAGACACAGACCCCAGAAACATCCCATTGTGGTCTCTCAATTTAGGAGAAAAAAGGAGAGCCAGCAGACTACATCCTGCCATTTCATTACTACAAACCAAGTATGTCATGAAACATTTTGAGGATGCTCTACATCCAGCAGTATCATATATTTAGCCATGATTCTTTAAAAAAAAACACATCCATCTCATTAGTATGCAGATTGGCTTTCAACTTTAATAAATGGTAAAATTATATATACCAGATAATTGCTTTAAAATACATTTCTTCTTTATTTATGCTTGATTTGCATACCCATTTAATTTTAAACCCGAGGTCGAATAAAAATTCCTTGTGTGGAAAAAGTTTAAGAAACTCTGAACCTTTTTTCATCCTCTTTTTACTGCAGCCAGATAACGTGAAAAGCTGAAGAGATCATAGAGTGAAAACAGTAGGAGCAGATCTTTGCAGGTAGCTTGCCTTTCTAGTAGTGATTGTACATATTATGATATTTCCTCTCTGGAAAAAAAAAAGAAGTGGAATGTACTCAAACATTAAAACTCCCTTAAGATAGACAGCAAGACAAGAATTACTAAAAAAAATCACCTCCCTTCTCATATTTCCTACATTAATATTCCAATTGAAAGGAATTTTTACTGATACATAGTGCAGGTAGATGACTAGTGTCTGAGCTATGCTATGTGGTGTCTCCATTGAACCATATGAAGATAACTTGATGCTTAGATATAATTCACACCTTAACACATCAAGGTGAGTAATCTGGCTCTCTACCCCAGACTTTATGGCCAGTGACCTGCAATGGTAGTTATAATTTAACAACATTGCTTGTGATACAGTTATGTGGGCCTTCAAGTTGTTTCTGACATAACCCTAAAGCAACTTTATCACGAGGGTTTCGTGGAAAGATTTCTTGAGAGTGTGATTAGCCCAAGGTTTCCCAGTGGGTTTCCATAGCTAAGCAGGGATATGAACCAAGGTATTCAGGGTTGTAGTGTAATGTTCACACCATAGTGGGTAGGAGACAAGGAAAAATCAAAATGCTATTAATTTATAGAGTATGTGAGGACAGTGCCTCAAGCCGGATCGGGGTACAGGGTGGCAACCTGTCTTTGATGGCAACTCCCCTTGAGGTCACAGGTCCGCAGCTTGGATGTCCTCCTAGACCCATCACTGATGCTTGAAGCCCAGGTGTCGGCGGTGGCTGGGAGGGCCTTTGCATAATTAAAACTCGTGTGCCAACTGCGACCGTACCTCGTGAAGTTGGATCTGGCCATGGTGGTCCACGCCTTAGTCACCTCCAGATTGGATTACTGTAATGCACTCTACGTGGGGCTGCCCTTGAAGACGGCTTGGAAATTTCAATTGGTACAACGGGCGGCAGCCAGGTTACTAACTGGGGCGATTTACAGGAAGCATCAACCCCCCTGTTTAAGGAGCTCCATTGGTTGCCGTTCATTTTCCGGTCCAATTCAAGCCCTGAATGGTTTGGGACCCACCTACCTGCGTGACTGCATTTCTGTGTACAAACACACAATCGATCATCTGGAGAGGCCCTGCTCTCTCTCCCGCCCCTTTGCAGGCACGATTGGTGGGGACGAGGGAGAAGGCCTTCTCTTGTGATGGCCCCCGACTCTGGAACTAACTTCCCAAGGATATCAGGCAAGCCCCCACATTGGTGGTCTTTAGGAGGAGCCTGGAAACGTGACTGTTCCAGTGTGCCTTCCCTGAATAAAGGAAACAGTTCCCTGCAGAATGTCCCCAGAAGCACTTTAACTACCCGTTGCATTGCTCTCCCAACATTTCCTTTAAAGTCCTCCTGCTTAGATACATCCTACCTCTGTTCACGCCCAGTGTTTATTTTAAAAATTTTAAACTATTACATCTGGCCTGGCCATAGGTCTTTAATTTTTTTTAATTTTTGTGTTTTATTGTTTATATGTAAGTTATATTAATTGTATTGTTTTATTTGCTTATTGCTTTGTTGTTTTTACTGATGTGTTGTTGGGCTTGGCCTCATGTAAGCCGCTCCGAGTCCCTTTGGGGAGATGGTGGCGGGGTATAAATAAAGTTATTATTATTATTATTATTATTATTATTATTATTATTATTACTACTACTACTGTTGGGAAAGCATTATCAGAAAGTATCCATTAAATTGATATGCTGAATTTTAGCTCTCACATTCTTCTTCCCTTATTCTGCACCTACACAGAATGCCACTCGGAAACTTTTAGATCATTGTCGTCAAACATGTGGCTCTCCAAGTGTTTTTGGACTTTAGCTCCCAGAATTACTGGCCATTGGACAAGCTGGTTAGGGCTGGGAGTTGAAGGGCCAAACATCTGGAGGTCCAGAAGTTTGACATGTCTGTTCTAAAACTTTACAAAAGCCTTTCTGCAGTAGCCCTCACTCACTCTTCACACCTGTATATGACTGCTTCCTACCTAAACCTTCATTTCTGAGATAGTGTCTACTTAACTTTAATAATTTTCGACTTAGTTCAGTTTTTAATATATTGAGAAGGCCAGCTTGTTTTTTGCTGCTCTAGAAACTAGGGCATGGAACAATGGATTCAAACTCCAGAAAAAGAGGTTCCACTTAAACATTAGGAAAATTTTCTGGTGGTAAAAATTGTTCCAGCAGTGGAAAAGTCTACCACAGAGTGTGGTGGAGTCTCCTTCTCTGGAGGTTTTTAAACATAAGCTGGATGGCATCTTATGGGAGTGCTTTGATTGTGTGTTCCTGTATAGCAAGGGGCTGGACTAGATGACCCGTGTTCTCTTCCAGTTCTTTGATTCATCATAAAGATTCTGGCCAAGATGTAACAAGACAAAGCCAGGTGCATCCTAGTCATCTCCTGGTGACCTAGGGAACTGTGGTTTGTTATTCTTCTGCAACTGTTGCAGAGCATATACCCTAAAGCCCGACTGCTCATTGGAGGGAAGGATAGTAGAGGCAAAGATGAAGTACTCTGGCCACATCATGAGAAGACAGGAAAGCTTAGAGAAGACAATGATGCTGGGGAAAATGGAAGGAAAAAGGAAGAGGGGCCGACCAAGGGCAAGATGGATGGATGGCATCCTTGAAGTGACTGGATTGACCTTGAAGGAGCTTGGGGTGGTGACGGCCGACAGGGAGCTCTGGCATGGGCTGGTCAATGAGGTCACGAAGAGTCGGAAACGACTGAACGAATGAACAACATACTATTGCAGGGCTTATACCACAGGTTCCCCTTACATCTTGCTGTTTTGACTCTCCATGAAGACATGGCTATACACCCAGACCTGAACACATTCAAGCCCACAGCATGGATGATATTTCTGTGACTCAAATATCGGATTCAGTTAATCACATTCTGGATGTGACTTAGAGACCATCTACCAGGAAGTCTTACTCTTATGAGTAGTCCAAATTCAGCAGCTTAATTTGTCTTAATTTGTTTTCAAAATGTGTGTTTTGTTTTTTGTCATGTCAGGAGCGACCTGAGAAACTGCAAGTCGCTTCTGGTGTGAGAGAATTGGCCGTCTGCAAGGACATTGCCCAGGGGGCGCCCAGATGATTTGATGTGTTTATCATCCTTGTGGGAGGCTTTTCTCATGTCCCCGCATGAGGAGCTGGAGCTGATAGAGGGAGCTCATCCGCCTCTCCCTGGATTCGAACCTGCGACCTGTCAGTCTTCAGTCCTGCTGGCACAAGGGTTTAACCCACTGCGCCACCGGGGGCTCCTTGTGACAGTGGTGTTTTGTTGCTTCCAAAACCTTATTTCCCTCCCACCACTCAGGGGGCGCTTTCATAGAATCATAGAATCAAAAAGTTGGAAGAGACCTCATGGGCCATCCAGTCCAACCCCCTGCCAAGAAGCAGGAATATTGCATTCAAATCACCCCTGACAGATGGCCATCCAGCCTCTGTTTAAAAGCTTCCAAAGAAGGAGCCTCCGCCACACTCCGGGGCAGAGAGTTCCACTGCTGAACTGCTCTCACATTCTTCCTCATGTTCAGATGGAATCTCCTTTCTTGTAGTTTGAAGCCATTGTTCCGCGTCCTAGTCTCCAGGGAAGCAGAAAACAAGCTTGCTCCCTCCTCCCTGTGGCTTCCTCTCACATATTTATACATGGCTATCATATCTCCTCTCAGCCTTCTCTTCTTCAGGCTAAAATGCCCAGCTCCTTAAGCCGCTCCTCATAGGGCTTGTTCTCCAGACCCTTGATCATTTTAGTCGCCCTCCTCTGGACACATTCCAGCTTGTCAATATCTCTCTTGAATGTGGTGCCCAGAATTGGACACAATATTCCAGGTGTGGTCTAACCAAAGTGGAACAGAG